TCGCAGTCAAAGGTGAGACTGTAATCTGTTGTATGTTGGCATGAATTTATGCATACAGCCCACTTTGTTGTTTTTTCTCTTATATGGAAACAGTAACAGATTGCTGTCTCATTGCAGGCTAGTGTTATGACAAACAAGAACTTGCTAGCAATGCCAGTTGGTATCAGGCAAAAAGATAATGTTGATGATGTCGTAAAAGGTAATGCATATTGTCCTGTTGATTTTCAAATTTGATGAATTGCTCGTTCTTTTCCTAATTTTGTTGAATTCAGTTTCTTGCAGCGAATTTTTCCATTATTTGTTTCATTATGATGGCAATGTGGATGGATGGCGGGATCTTGGTTGGGGTGAGAAAGCCATTCACATAGTAGCTGATAACCAAACGAAGTGGTAAGGCTCACTGTGGGTTAAAGGATTCTTTGTTCTATAACGTGTATTGGTGGATGTGTGTTCATATCAAATTTTGATTTAATTTTCCTGATGAATTGCCAAAACGGTCTGCCCTTTTGCTACTGCAGTATGATATTTCTTAGGTTTACTATTTTGTTTTAGTCGGATCATCGGATAAGCTTAGTGATCTCTTCCCTCTTTCAGGTGTTTGCAAAGCGCTTTCTGCATCCTGATATCGCGTCTATTTATGACTACATATTTCTCTGGGATGAAGATTTGGGAGTCGAGAACTTCGACCCTGTGAAGTAAATGGCCTTGATGAGATTTCTGTTATTTGCAATATCAATATTCTCTTTCCTTACATAATAATATTACGTGTTCCTTGTTTGTAATATAATCTCTGTCTGGTTTTATCAAGGAGACAATGTTAGTTAAATCTTTCACTTGGTCTCTATTTGTGCTTTGTGAGGCTTTTACTTCTTGTTTAATGACAGTAGCATACTTCTATTTCGGGTAAAACTCGAACATTTTTATATTGGCTAGTCTTCTTTTTCCAGGTACCTAAGTATTGTGAAGTCTGAAGGTTTAGAGATTTCTCAGCCAGCTTTAGACCCAAATTCTACTGAAATACACCACAGAATCACTATTCGAGCGAGAAAGAAAAGGTTTCATAGGTAAATAGAATGGTCTATGACTATTCACAAAGGTGCATATTATTGCTTGTATAATACTTACATGAAAAGTTCGACCGTCACAGGAGAGTCTATGACCTCAGAGGTAAAACAAAGTGTTCAAATGCGAGTGAGGGGCCACCATGCACTGGGTGAGTTATTTTATCATCATATTCCTTGGTAAAGTCATTTGACTATCGAGTAGAATAGACTGATGATAAATGTATTGATGAAATTCTACGCTTGAAGAATATCTAGTTCCATTATCTGGTTAATTATCACTATACTAATTTTAGTCATTCATACTACCTTTGCAGATTTGTGGAGGGAATGGCTCCTGTGTTTTCTAGATCTGCCTGGTATTGTGCATGGCATCTCATACAGGTAAATTTGCTTGTTGTCCTCGTCAATATCGAAATTTAACGTTGACATCGTTGATTCTTTCTTTCATTTTCTCATTTAGCCTTTCTTTTTGTCCCTTTTCCCCCATTCAGAATGATCTTGTACACGGATGGGGAGTGGATATGAAACTCGGGTATTGTGCACAGGTAAGATTCACTTGATGCTATTTTTTGCCTGCTTAGTTAACCATGTTCATTTTCCTTTCTGCGTACAGCTTAGAAATATAATATTTACTATCGTTTTATATGTTTTTACTCAGGGTGACCGCTCAAAGAAGGTCGGCGTGGTTGATAGCGAGTACATTGTTCATAAGGGTATACAAAGTTTGGGGGGTAGTGGCCATCCCACAATGAGGAAAACCGTGAAGGTTTTGCTTTAACTTCTTCCCTTTTCTTAGTTTCCTGACAGATTCATCCAGGATATTGTGCTGCACTAGATTAACCCTAATCCATTCGGTTTCTTAATGCATTTTCCCGCTGATGTGCAGAGACACGGGGCTTCAAGTTTCGATCTACGAACTGAGGTACAGTAGCTCCGTGCACGAGACATTCCCTTAATTTGTTAAGAAATCAATATGATTACAGATATATTCTTTTAGTTATTCTGGCAAAGATAAATTTGGCTTCTACTCTACATATAGTTAATAAGGGCTTTTGTACTTGGGCAACACCTCTTGATTACCACACGAACATTGATAATTCTCGATATTTCAATGCTCATCGTTTTATGTGTAAGCAAAGATGATTCTTCGAAATGAACAAATACGATTCCCCGAAGAAAAGAGATATGACATCGCCTTGTGGGATATGGTTCTGCTCGGATTCTTCCATAAATGAATTCTGATAACTGTTGCAGATTCGGAGGCAGTCCACTTGGGAGCTTAAAGTGTTTAAAGAAAGATGGAATCAAGCCGTGGAGGAAGACAAGGATTGGGTGGATCCATTTCTAAAGCATCAAAGGCGCAGTAGACAACAAAAACGAAAAGACTAGGTTTTTTAGCTCGTGGTCGAATGATGGATGCATATATGTCAGTTTTGGGGGGGGGGGGGCTTACTTGCAACATACAGCTACAGTTGAAGTTTCATCCATTACTTTGTATCTTTTCTAGTTCATAGAGCAATTTGTTGGATGATATTTGATTATTTCATTATTTGAATCATTTTTCTTACCATTTCATTTATGTTGGATAACATCTTAACCTTCCAACTCTCGGATTTTATGAACATAAACCAATAAAGATGACTATAGCTTAGCATCTTGTCTTGTAGTAATCAATGTACAAAGATATAAAAACGATTATAAACTGGAAGAGTTCCAGCTAGCATCAACAGCTCCGACGATTCTTTCATGTAGTTTAGCTCCACAACAAGCAATTATACCTCGATCGAGATCTTCCAAGAACATACCTTTCGAAAAGTCCAGTCGAGATCCTCCTGCATCAGTTACCACACCACCAGCCTTCTCTATGATGATGACACCTGCTGCATGATCCCATATCTTTTCCTTGTACCCTGTTCTCGCAAACTTCATAAATATCTCAGCATCGCCTCGAGCTATCGCTGCGTATTTCACCATACTGTATACACGCAGTGGTTCCTTCCTGCATTTGAAAACAGAATCATTACTTGTTTTGTCACACAGCTGATGCATGTCATTCCTTGTATGGAGTGGTTCCATCATGTATATGTATATGTATATGTATGTACCTAAGGCCAACACTGTGAGCTAATCCAGCTGTGAAGGAATGGCTCGAGTTTGACTTCTCAACTGGTTCACAGAAAGTAGCCAATGCCGGATTATCAACGGAGGATACTCGAACCGGTATTGCAGATTTCAGCCATGATATTGGCTTATTCTTCCGGTGTAAAGGTTCCATCCAAGCCTCGCCTTGACCTTTCCTTGCATATAGAACACACCTTTATCCATGATTCAGCTGTTGTTGGGGTCAATTTAGATATAATTCTATGATAGCGGTGGTGATAACTTAGCCATTCCTTCTTCATCGGATAGTTCGGGCAACCTAGAACACCAAGCACAACTTCTCCATCCTCTATCAATGCTAAAGCGACGGCGTATTGATCGCCACAAACAAACCCAATGTACCATCAACGGGGTCTAGTGCCCAAAACCTTCCGGTGGGCCTCCAGTCGAATTGCATCGACTAATGGCTTCGAGAACATCAGAACTCCTGAGCGGTGTTGCTGGACCCTTGAGTCCGAAATGAGGTGCCCGGCTAGACAGTCATGACTGTTTTCACTACGGCAGCTAACAACGCTGATGAATCAGGTTTAGAGAGGCTTCGAACATCTTCTTCGGCAAGAATAGACACATTCCGACGCCCGAAGGATTTGGTTAGTATCCAGCTTACGGTTGCTGAACACTCCAGTCTGGTTGACACAGTGTAACCAAGATGATTAGAGTAAGTTGAATGCTGTGACTAGTTCAAGATAACAATTCACATGAACCATGAAACTTAATTCATTATAGACCATGTTTCGGATAAGAGCGACAAATACGAATATTCAAAAAAAAAAAAGATAATGAAGAATTCGAATAAATAGGCCTTAAATATCTAATCCATTCCAAGATTCCTAATTTAAAGTGCCAACAGATTGTGTTAAAAGATTAAAGCAACATTCTGAACCACCAAATATGCTGAAGAAACAGAATTATCTCAAGAACCCCAAATTCACAAAAATGGATAAAATTACCTGCCACAGTGACAGGAGAATTATCATCTTGGAATGAACTGGACTGCCGGTTTTCAAAATCAAACTCTCCTGAACTTTCTGACCAGAGAGCATGCCATCTGGACAGCCCTGACAGCAACATCCAATTCCTTGGAATATTGTCTGGTACAGGAGATGTAAGAACCAAATTCCTCTCATCTTCCATAACTGAAGAAGAAAGAGAAGGGTAGTTTGGTCAAATTTTAACTGAGAAACAATGGGGAAACACCTCTTTTGGTGGGTTTTCTTCATACTCCATGGGAACAGAGTTTCTACATAGTTTGCTGCTGGTAACTTCGTGGTGCTGGTTATCCTGACCTGCCCCAGAATATTAGGGGCTCCGAAAACCAGGCTAGTGGAATTTAGAGGCATAATAGTTAGAGACACTCACCTCTCCCACTTTGTGGAGTCTAAATATATATAATGAAAGAAAAGAAAGACAAATTGTAGTGTCTGAAACTGTTGATTAATTTAATGAGATAAGCAGCATGAGAAAATTGACCGCAGACCCTAGTTTTCTTTGAAGCTAAAGACGGCTGTGGATATGGTGGCTATAGTTATACCTTTCTTTTTCCCCTGCTTTTGGTATTAAACTAGAAGGTGTCCTACTTCAGCTAAAAGTAGAGATGCAAAACTCGTAATCCACATAAAACTCTTACCATTTTGGCTTTCTTTCACAAAATATGAGTATGGACCTTAATTTATCAATCCTTACAAAAATAGACAGATCAAATTGTGTCAAATTAAAATACAATGATTAAATTGCAAATTTGAGCATAGTACATAGATCAAACTTGACTAATTTTAACAATACTGTTGTTGATATTTGTTAACGTTTTCATTTATGAATGTTCAGATTACAAAGTACAAATGAACGGGGATTAACTTTGAACCTACATGCCTGCGTGAAGTTATTCCGACTTAAGTCAAATTCAATGGTAGTTTGAGATTAAATGCAACAAGTCTGTGTTTTCTGGCCCTTTTGCATCAGTTCAAGTTGCTGTTGCAAAACCTTCTTCAGATCCACCAAAGACCTTGTTCAAGATCATGGCTAATCTTACTCCTTGAGCAATCCTTTTCATTACAATAGGCATTCTTGTATCGATGTATTCCTCTATATACCATCAAGAAACAAGAAGACAGCATTAATGGTGTATTTACTCCTTTAGATATGGGTCTAATTATCCTCTCAGTCCTCAGACCTTGTTCCGCTTTTTTTGAGTTAATGATTGAAGTCTAATTGTGATAACACAATTCTCATTTAATGGGACTATGACATTTTTTTTAAAGAAAAAAATGCTTTTTACTCTAATTGCCAATTTACATTTGCATGGAACATGTAAGTATAAATTTTCATTATGCTTCTTGAAACACTGCCAGAGAACCTCAGAACCATTTTTATTTCCTTATTGAGCCTTCCATACGTATAGTATTGGCTTTAAGAGTATTTGTTTTAATTCCACACAACACTTCATTATTAAATCAAAAGTGTAGAGGGACTAACTTTCAAATATGCCAAGAATTGAGGACCGAGAGCATAATTAGACCTTTGGAAATGGCATGAAGTGTTTTTACTGTGAAAAAATGGTATTAGTTTTCAATGCTTCATGCAATAATATACGTACCTGCCAGTGTTTGTCCAGACTTTAAGCCTTTGTAACCCCATTTGCAAGCTAAGTTTATACTCTCTGTAGCATACCTACACGTATGAAAATGGTAACTTTAATTAATCTCTGAACAAATAATCGAATATATAGTTTGAACTCTTATTTTTCTTTAATCAATCGCGTTAAATATATTAATATATACAAGTTCCAGTAACATATCACAAACCCATTTTTTTTAAATTCATTATATTGGTTTATAATTGTTCTAAGGAGGGTTTAGGCTTACTTGTTCAAGCATGGAAGAAGATCATCACATTGTTCCCATGATGCAACATCATCATACCAAATTCCCTGTATGAAAGTAACAATTATGGGGTAAATGTACATTTTGCTTCTTAAATTTTTCTTCAAAGTTTAATTTGATACCTACTTATTTTTTTTATCTAAGTGGATATGTTCTATTTGATAGCTAAACATTTTTTGATCGAATTATATACTTGAACTTTATTTCTTCAAAGTTAAGTTCAAGTACCTAATCCATCATATTTAGAATAAAAATTGAACTTATATCAGTGAAATTTCCTACTTAGTCTTCTTGAAGGCTATCCAAGTTCTTTTCATAGAAATCTGCAAGAGCTGTAAGGATGATCTCCCTGTCCCACACCTATACATTGTTGAAATTCACCAATGTGGGCTAATCAATTACCCTTTGTGAAGCACAAGTTCAGTTTAACAGGAAAATACTCACATGATGCAGATTCGATTTGTGCCGAAACCACCGCTACGCGATGGTGTTCCCTCCTTCGTCGTTCGTGAAACAGATGTGCATCGGCTGATGGATATCTCCCATGAAGTGTGACAAGAACAACAAGGCTTCTGTCATGTTATCTGCAGAGAAATAAAGAGGCACATTTAGTATCGGGTTGAAACATATTACGAAGAACAATGATTATCGAGTAATAATATTGTTACGGCGATGGTCCGAAGATCCCTCCCTGAAGGGCACAAGCTGTGAGGTGAAGTTTTGGATTGCACCAGCAACACATGTCCTTTACACCATGCTGATCATGCAGTCCCCTAAAACAAATGACAAATTTTGCATTACTTCTATGTAATTCAGTGTGATCAAAAGGATTGCTTGGCTTTCTGCTTACTTGAATATTGATATGAGCAAGCATCGTCCGGTGTATCGATAAAGTGAAGCGGGCTTGTCCAATCGATACTTATACCAATGCCGGATTTGGTCTGGCCATACACAGAGGGACGAAAGGCCTCCGTTGGCATAGTCTGGCAGCAAATTTTCAACAGCTGCTGCAGCCTCTGGTTCTAATAGACCCTATTGCAAATTAGAAGTAAATTGCCAATGTTCCCTTCGAGTGTTCTTAGACATGTGCTTCCACCGACCTGACCCGATCCGACTCGACCCGACTCGTTGGACTGTGTCTTGTAAGCATAATCCGAAGTTGTCTTTTTTTGTCACCCTCGAGTATATCTTTAAAGATTCGATCTCACGCCATATTATGTTTTCACCACATGATCTAACTGCTCAAGTCGGACCGGATGTGATCGGTTAACCAAGTAAACCAAAGCAAAAACGAAAGGAACAATGGAACAAACAATACGTGAGCGACCAGACACGTCAAAATGTGACCTTCTTTGCTCCAACCATGGGTTCCAGCCACCAACAAAACAACCCCAAACGAAGACAGCCTCCAGAACACGACCATCCCCAATTTCTTTCTCGTTTTATCAGTTTCAACAACTCAACAACAAAGAAACTGGCCTCATAACTACGAGATCATCATGTATAAATAATACAAACAGTAGGTGATCATCGAGTGTAAGTTTGCATTTCCACAGTTTCACGTTACCCAAAAGTTTGACCTCAAACACATGCAATGTGGGGCCATATAAAGCATATTCTAGTATATGTGCGAGTTATCAATGAGATAATCCTAAAGTTAATTAACTATAATTTCTTTGCCTTCAAAGTAGTAATCAATAAGATAAACCTAAAATTTCAATGTGCGTTTTAAGGTTGTTGTTTTTGTGTCGGAGTTTAGATCATGTCTTTATATAAATTATGAATTTTTTTAAAGAATTAAAAAAATTATTTAAGAAATATCAAATATTTTATCACGATCCAATAAATATTGATAAGTTAATTTTATATATAGAAATAATGTCATGGTCATGCATTTTGGCTGGAATTGCCTTAGTTGATGCTTGTCGGCAATTGCATTAACCGGTCATGCATTCAGATCATGAGATAATAGCTACGCAAAGATACATATGGAGGTGCCTTGTACTTATAAAAGAAGAAGAAAAAGAAAGGGGTTAATTCCATGAAAGGTCCAAAACTATTGTCTAAATTTAAAATTAATCTTTAAACTTTAAAAATTCTAATTAAATCTTCAAAATATCAAATTGTATACCATTTTGTTAGTCTAATCGTTAATTTAGATGTTAAAAGATTTTAAAAGATAAAATAACATTTAATCCTTAAACTTAACAATTTTCTTCAACTTGTTCCTTCAACATGTTAGGTAAAACACTAATCTTTATTTTCACATTTGCCTATACCCATTTTCTTCATCGATCAAGCTACTACAGAGCCAAAATAAAGAAAGAAATGAAGGCAGTGGTGATAACAGCAGCAGGAGGTGCTGCAATTGCAACAAGTTGATGACCCAGAAATCAAAGAAGATGAAGTCCTAATCAAGGTCGAAGCCACCTCTTTAAAACGGGCCGACCCTCCAGAGGAAAGGTTCATACCCTCCTCCAAGGGGTGATAGTCCTTACGCTGGCCTTGAATGTTCCGACACCGTCCTAGCTGTTGGCAAGAATGTTTCTCAATCGAAAGTTGGTAATTGAAAATAAAAACCCCATTTCTTGCAACGTATAATTTATATGGGATTATTGTAAAGGTGCAATTTTTATATGAATTATACATTGATCAATAATCAGCTAGTACTCATTTAAGCCCAGAACTTTCCCAACAATAAATACGTGTACGGTGAGAGTCTGCCAATGTTATGGGAGCTTCATGAAAGTCAAAATCGTCTCTTCTTCATCACATATTTAATTTTCTGAAATGACCCTTATCGAATCAGACTGCAATTATTATACTTTGAAAACGTTTTATTTATACTTTGAAAACGTGTCAATAGGAGGCAGGTAAATTGCTCAGGCTGCAATTATTATACTATTATCCTTACAATATTTATTTATTCTCCCTCGTATCTCTCATAGATTTCATTGATCAGGTTAGTTTTTGAAATCTGGGTAGTTCTTAATTTTCATTTTAATGGGTTTTTGATCGGTTTACTTAGATCTTTCTGCAGATCATTGCTTTGGGTTTCTGATTTCTTGGCCGAAAACCATGGATTTGAGGCATTTAAACCGTGGACAAATCACTCTGTTGTGGCCTGGAGCTTGTGTGTTGCTTACACTGCACTTCACTTTGCAGCTTGTATCGCAGCATCTGTTTCACTGGAAAACCCCAAAGGAACAGAAAGCTATACTGATTATCATCCTCATGGCTCCCATTTATGCAGTTGATACCTTTGTGGTGTTATTAGATGTTCGAGGAAGCAAAGCTTTCTTCATGTTCTTGGAGTCGATCAAGGAATGATATGAGGCCCTGGTGAGTGCCCCCCCCCCCTCTTGCTCAGTCTTTGCATTTTTTGGATTTACGTTTGTTGGAATTAACCATTGGTGATTTGTGAATTGTTACTGTTAGGTGATTGCAAAGTTCTTGGGTTTGATGTATAGTTACTTGAACATATCTATCAGCAAAAATACTGTGCCGGATGAAATCAAAGGAAGAGAGATTCCCCATTCATTTCCAATGACCCTTTTTCAGGTATGTAGGTTTAATTGCACTCAATGTTCTCAAATTATTGTTCGGATTTTTAACATGTCAGATTTAAGTTGTTTATGTAGTAGGTACACGCATGTTTACAATTTATCCATGTTAGATTGAGTTATCATTTAATGCTCGTGATCAAGTTAAAGAAAAACATAATGGATACGATATTAGTATTTTAAGGACTCAATTAAAATCTAAGCTATTATTTAATGATGTCTGATACATGCTTGCTTCCAACAAGTTACAGTATTAATCACATCTCTTTGATCTAGCCTCGAACAGTTAGGCTAAACCATCGAACACTGAAGCTTCTTAAGTACTGGACATGGCAATTCGTCATCATCCGGCCGATGTGTTCGATCTTGATGATAACACTGCAACTCCTTAAGATTTATCCTTCTTGGTTGAGCTGGACATTCGCCATCATCCTCAATGTGTCTGTTTCATTAGCACTATTCTTTGGTAGTCTTTTACCATGTTTTTGCAAAAGAGTTGGCGCTTCACAAGCCACTTGCAAAGTTCCTGTGCATCAAGGGGATTGTTTTCTTCTGTTCTGGCAGGTAAAAAACTTGTTCTCTTCTCATCTATATCGAACATATATCTATATTCGACTTCGAATGTCCGAAGCCACCCTGTGTTTTCTTGCCCTTTCTTTCTCATGTCGAATTGTGATCATCCTGGTTTCATTAATGACATCGATCGGTGACATGCAGGGAGTGGTACTCGACATACTCATGGCAATGGGCATCATTCGATCACACCATTATTGGTTGGATGTAGAGCACATTCAGGAAGCTCTTCAAAACACATTGGTGTGCGTAGAGATGGTGGCTTTCTCTGTTGTCCAGCGGTATGCATACAATGTTGTACCTTACAGTGGAGAAACTGAAGATAAGATGAAAACTGACAAGAAAACAGAATGATGTTTTTTTATGCCCCGAGAACCCAAGTTGTACTAGGAAAAGATATATACACATATATAAGTATGTATATGTATTTTCGTTTAATATGATGTTAGCAAATAGCAATGCATGTACTCTGTTTTCTATTTAAACAACTGTAGTGTTCGAATAGAAAAAGTATAAATTTATATATGTTTGATTCAAATTAATTATAAAAAATGGAACTGTAAATTATCCATTTTTAAACTACCACCGACTTATTATCTTATTTGACCTTTATGCACACAAGAGGTAACGGTTTGAGAATAAAAAGGTGCAGCAAACGAGGGAGCCCCACTTTGATGAGTGTGTGGACAAGCCAGCCAGCATCCAGCCTCCAGCCTCCAACCAAAGACAGAGTAAAAGCAATTGTATAGCCAGCCAATTTAACAAATCAAAAGATACCCACTTTGACATTTCTCTTTTCCCTTTTCATTCTCCTTCTCTTCCCTCCTTCATTCCTTCCTTTCCTTCTCATTCTGGGTTTCCTCTAATTCCAGTAAAGATTTAATTTTTCCAACTAAAAATTTATCAACTTTCAGCTGAGAAAACAAAGACAGCTTTGGAGCAAAGAGGAGAAGATAGTTTTTGCAAACATCATGAACCAGAAGGCTAACGTTTCTAAAGAACTCAACGCTAAACACACAAAGGTTCTCTCTTTTTGTTTTTCTTTTGCTACCCATTTAAGCTTTAGCGTTTATCTTTTGCTCTGGTTGGTAAAGTATGGATTTTGAAGTGTTTGATGAAAATACATGGTTGCAGGCTGTGTTTTTTGCACACTCTTTTTGTTGATGAATTCTACAAAGCAAGGGCCATAGTTGAAGAATCTGATTTCCTTGTTGTTTTTTGTGATGTTTGAAACTTTCTCCGATTTTGGAAATATTGGTTTCCTTTTGTGTGTATATTGAATTAACCCTGAGCTTTAAACTTGCCAATTTTGAAATAGTTTTGAAATATTTGTCTTGTATGATTTCCAGTTTTCAATTGAAGCAAGTTGCACTGCCCTTTACATTTTAACTGTCAGTTGTGTTTGCTGATGCCTTGGTGTCTTAAATCTAAGGCCCACACAGAGATAAAGTTGGCTATAGCTCATCTTGAAGTTGGTGCTGCCAACATGATGTCTATCTTTCCTTACTCTTGCAATATTTATCCTTACATATGTTCCTATATTTATTTGAGTGTCTTAGGCCACTCGTTATTGTATTCGTAAAAGTTATACGAATTAAGTAATATTCAAGAAAACCATGTCAAAATTTTCTCTTCGACTCGTGATGTTTGTCATACTAATGTCGATTGATTTCCTCAACATATAGTTTTCCCTCCTCCCTTTGCATTCTAGCATGTATATGTGTGCATGGTTGCTTGCCACATTGTCTTGGTTATATATATAGTTATAAGATTGCCAATTTGGCCTATTTGGTGCCACCTTCCGCAGATATTGGATGGCCTTCTTAAGTTACCTGAAAATAGAGAATGTGCAGACTGCAAAACCAAGTAGGTATCCGGTAACAATGTTTCTCTCTGTAATGCTTTACCGTCCCGAGTTACTGTTAAGGACTTGACTCGGAATTTATAATGGCTTGTCTGCTATGCAGGGGACCACGATGGGCTAGTGTTAATCTCGGAATATTCATTTGCATGCAATGTTCAGGGGTTCATAGAAGTCTTGGAGTACACATATCAAAGGTTTTGCTTATGTTGTTTCACTATGAAGTTTGCAGGTTGGGTTTGATTTTCTTTTTAACATGTTCGTGGGAATTATATTTGATTCGTTCAGGTGAGATCTGCGACTTTAGATACATGGCTTCCGGAACAGGTTTCTTTTATCCAATGTAGGCTCCACTGTTCATTTCTTTGATTACCGCCCCAAATCAAATGCAGGTGCTGGTTGTGATCCCGTTTTCTTCTTTCTTGCAGGCATGGGGAATGAGAAATCCAATACTTACTGGGAAGCGGAGTTGCCTCCCAAGTACAACAGAATTGGAATCGAGAATTTCATTCGCGCAAAGTACAACTTCATAAAATAAAACTACCCATCACTTTTAAATTTTATGCTTAATTTTCTTCCATTGGAACTTGTCAAAAGTAATTTTACTTAAGGATGCTTATTTTCTTCATTAGGTATGTGGAAAAGCGATGGATTCCCAGGGGTCGAACGCAAGAATCACCTCCACGTGTAAACGGAGAAAAGGAATCGCTTCATAGACTAGGAGCTATAAGTGGTGTTGGGTATAAGAACTTGAATAATGTGAATCCCGTTTCTACGGAGAAGAAAATTATTCACCCACCTGTTACAAATAACAGCACTCCTAATATGAAAAGTTACTCGCAAGTGAATGTAAATGTACCTCAGAAGGTAAGAATAGCTTTTGTTCGGTCTTATACACTGATTGTCAGTAAATGCATTTGCGTTTTTACAGTACTGCTGTTAACTTTGCTTTGCTGCCTGTCAGATGGAGGAAGTACATATGTAGCAAATGAACTACCCTGTATGGTTTACCTATCTTTCTTTTAGTGGGCATTGAAATGTTTGAATACTTACAGCAGTTTTTTTTTTATTCAATGTTGATGCAAGTTATTTTGACTCATAGATTATGTTGCTTCGATACGAAATGAAAAACCGAGACAGTATGAAACTTTTTGTTGCTTAGATCAAGATAACATAAATAACAATGTAGGATCTCTTGTGAAATTCGAAATGCTAGGTGCTAGAAAATACCCAAAATGACGAGCATCTCGAAGTAGTCTTTTTCTTTATTACATATGTGATTGTGACATAGAAATGAGCATACTTTTTTTGCAGTCAAGTATGGTGTCTCCATTATCCATCCATCCACAGCAGCTTGCTATGCTTCCGAAACAACAGCCCATCATGAACACTACTGTGAAGCCTAATGGTGGATCCGAAGCCTTCCCTATCAATTCTCCTCATTTCAGCTCCAATGGCTTTCACTCTCCTGCTCTGAGTTTTGGAAGCGTTGGCCATCAAGTTCCTGGAATGGTAACGCCAGTTGCTAATCGACAGAATCATATGCAGGTTTGTTTTCGACATGCTTCCATCATTGTTCTTTTCCCTGATTGTAACTTCTTAATACTATCTCTTCATGTTAATCGCCTTCGATACCAGATGGGAAGCAACCGACAGATGCACCCTGCAGGAAATTCAGTGAATTTTCCAACTTCCAGGTGCGTACGCAAATTGTTTCAGCTCAACGATCCAAAACTTGCTTATTTCTAACTATTATGTTATCGATTGGTTCTATCGGCTTTAGCTTTGAAGAATTGCTTGAATTCAAAAGCAAAATGGTCCTGGTCCTAGTAATTGAACATGCAGTATTGTAATTCTGTACATAATCACTGGAAATGGGGGTTCATTAGGAGAAGTTCCATGATATATAGATGATTCGATACCATCAACATTTCGGTGCATTGCTCGATTCATTAACTGGTCCTAAACGAAGAGTTATATGCAAAATCTGTTATTCGAATACATTTCTTGTTTGATTAACATGTGATATACCCTGATTCTGAAGCACTCTCCGATTTGGTTTCACTTGCAGCTTCTCCAGCACAAGGCCAGTAGTTCCATCATCAACCATCAGCATGAAAAGCATCGGAGGTAAGCCTATCTCGCCGTCTCCGGTTCCTAAAAGCACACCATCTCAATGGGGAAAAGACTACGATTTCTCGTCGTTAGCGTCATTAACGCAAGGGATGTTTACAAAGCGGTAACTCACCGGCAGAATAATTGGTGAGCAGATAGATTTTCATTTCCCATCACTCATAATCAAAGGGTAGACCGTCATTGACTGTTATAATGTAATAAAGGTTAATTCTTTTATATCTCATTCCCCATAAATCAAGGCTTTTTGTAGATATTTATATTATATTTTCTTAAATATATTTCATGATTATTAAATTAAGATGCAAGCAAGCAACCAGATTGAAAGGAAAAAGATGACTGCTTATGCAATTATGGAGACGATATTTATTGGGTAAACTACCCTATTGGTCATCAAACTACTAAATTTTTTTACTTTGGTTACTGATTTTTTTTTCTACAAAACCATCCTTAAAGCTGTGTATTTTTTATTTTGATCATCATTCGTTAAAAAATATTATTGAAGATGATGCGGTATGCTATAATAACAATGTCAATCCCTAAAATGTATATATTTTATCAATTCAATTCTAATTTAATAAATTTAACCCTCCAATAATATTACAACGCATGTTATAATTTTTTGATAAAAGTTATTTTGAATTAAAACTAAATTGATAGAATGTATAAATTTTATATACTAAAAGTGTTATTATATCATTCATGTCACTGTTTGTATGCCCCTTCAAGCCCTTTCATTTGGCAAGAAACCGGTGATCAAAGCTTCATTTTTCTAATTATTTTTATTTATTCTTAAATTGATCAAGTTGTTAAATACTATGTGTTTGCAAATAAATATATATTAAATGAGCTCATGAACTTTGTTATTTTATTTAGATAAGTCCTTATGCATTCGAAACAAGGGTTAAATTCAATACAAATCAAAGCATAAAGGCTCGTTTATAGATATAACACAAGTCTATGGTGCATTTAACATGAGTGATTGGATAATGTACAGGTTTTTTTATATCACAATCTAACTTACTTCATTCATAACATCAAATTTTGAATTTTTGATTTTATATTTTAAAAAAAAACTAACATATCATCTCACTAGACCAATTAATAGTTAATATATTTAAAGTTGTATTTGATGAAATATTCCTAATCATAATTTTTTTCCTAAATGCAATCAATTTTTAATAGTCTTGAGGTGAGTACAAGGTAGTATCTGTTCAAAGACAACTCTCAATCATTTGAGATCTCAAGGAATAACCAAGGGCGGAGTTAGAAAATTTATTTTGGGGTGTCAAAATTAGAAATTGTATAATTTTTTTAAAGTGGATGGAAATAAATAACGAGTGTCAATTTTATATTTAAATGTACCAATATTCTTTTAAGAATATATTAATTTTATTATATTTTCAAATATTTTATATTAAATTTATAAAATAAATTATTTTTCAAAAACTTTTGGGGTGTCAATGACACCTCTTATAATAGCCCGGCTCCGCCAGTGGAAATAACAACAATTTTTTTAACATCGATGTCGTTTGGTTCGTGCCAAAAATTCATATATACAAACAAAACTACAATTCTATATATGATTTCTTAAATATTTACTCTCTTTGTCCCATAATTTACGTCTCATATTGGTTATGCATATAGTTTCAGGAGATATATTTGACCAAAAGATATAACAAAATTATCCCTAAAAAGTGATTGATAGATTTATTTTGATAAGTGTAAAAGAACGGAACATATAAGGGTAAAAAGGAAATATAAATTATTGTCTGTTGACTTTTTTAATATGACATTTTAAATATGACAACTTTAAAAATCGAAAGAGACATTTAATGGTAACACAAATATGGTGAAAAAAATTGAATTAATAAAACAAAACAAACTAACTTAGGACATGTTCCAATGAAGAAATGAAATGTGTCACTCATCCAACAAAAGGTCGGCACCATATCTATAACGGACTTTGGACTTCAAGACTTGGCAAAGTGCTTCGTATGTTCTTTTTCTTCCGTTCCCATTTCTTAATCTTCGTTGTTCTTTGACTGTAACAAAATCAGTCATTATCCAACGACCTTTTTATTGTTTCCGTTAAACAAAGACATTCAACAAACAGTTTAAGTTTCAAAACCTATCTCTATATGAACCAGAAACCAAACAAGATATTGTCTGATTTTGATGGCTTCATCTACTCCCCTCCATCGTCCACGGTTCTAACTGTTATAACGGGTTTTTTCTCTCTAGTTATTACAAGGACCAACTTATCGTTTTGTCATGTAATCTCCAGGATGTTTCATTCGGGTGTTAGTTAAATCGTCTTTTTTTATAAGGTAGTATTTATTAAGAATTTTCTTAATCAATTGACAACGTAAACACACTTTGCATACGTAACTATTTCAACCTAAGACCTCTAAAAATAATATTATTCTCTTTTATCACTGAAACTACTTAATGAATCCGTATATAATTCAAAATTTAATCTATAATAAATAATAACATATTTGGTTGACACGTATACACATGTGCACCCATACTTATTTGTCCACAACAATACATGGACAATATCCTACGGCGATATATGCAAATTTTTCTAATATTAAAATCTCCATACTTGATTTAATGGTAGTTGTACAACTACCATGCACTTTCTTCTCATTGTACACTTTGATTAATTGAGTCAACTCTATCTTCTCCCATGTATAATCCATAAACATTTGTAAGATAAAATGGACCGACAATTCGTCTCCTTCTCCGACACGAGTTTTGCCCGAAAGTAACTAGTAATTTCTAAAGTAACTGAATTGATGTTATTTAACAGTTAACTCGATCGTAATGTTAAACTCGGTTAAGCATATTATAATTAAAAAAATTTTATCACTCGTATAATATGTTAATATAATTGTTAAAGACATATGTAATTAATCTAATGTCTGATTATATAAATTTTAATTTTTTTATTTTTTAAATATAAAAACATCGTTTTAGTAATATTAATAATCCCAATCAATTTGAAATTGTCAATTTTTAAAAAAAAAATAAAGTCATGATTGAGTAAAAATCTTTAACACTTTATTATTATTATTATTATTTCTTGATTTTCAATAGGCTTGACCAATAAAACTCGTGACACCTATATCATTTGATGGAGAATTCTTGTAATATATGGAGAAAGGGTAATGTCATTTAACTAACATTCTTAAACTTCTCACATATACTATATGATGTGATATATATATATATATATATATATATATATATATATATATCACATATATATATTGTAATTTAAGATTCAAAATTTGTTTAATTATCTCAAAGAAAAATAAATTCCCTCTAAATAATTTTAAATTGATAAGAATTATAAATATATTTAAAAAGCTATTACCGTGGAGCAAAAATGTCATGAAAATGATAATTAAAGAGTTGAAAATTAATTAAAATATTTGTCGTAGCGTCTTCATGTATACACATGCAATGCACAATTTATTAGATATTTATTTGGAAAATATATGCGTATATGTATATATACATATTATATTCTATGTGATGGGGTCTCATGCTGCCTTAATACGGCCAACTCATAACCTCAATTCTTTATTGTTTGCGTACATATATTAATTGTTCAATTCTATATATCATTAATAAATTAAAGATAATGACACGTAAGTGAAAATATATATAATTTTAGAACTTTATGATAATATGTTATCATATAATTTCTTAACGTTATATAAAATATATATTATTAGGATATTAAATATTAATTTTATAAATATAGTGTATTAAAAAATACACTATGTTCCATTGACTTTCGAAAATATTTGATATATACAAATAGTTGTATCTCTATCTTAGCTCATAAAATGTAGGATTCACAAATAATTAATTTTTAAATTATATAATGCATTTATTTATGTGTTTATATTTAAATATAAGAATATTATTATTGTCGTGAAAAGTATTGATAGAGTATTTTTTAAAAGTCTGAGGTGATTATAATATATTATTTATTCAAAATTATTTTTAATAATTGACAACACATATTTTGTAGATACATATGCTCGACAGGTACAATAAAGTATTAAAAAGTGAAAAGATAAAGAGAGAGCAACTCATACCTTTTAAAGAGCCAAATGTTTCACCCTAACTACAAGTTATGGGTAATTGGTAGGACATAGCCACACTCTTCCATTACTACTTTTTATATATAACAATATTTGTACATATAATCATGTAAATAAGGTATTGGTTAAATAACTATTAGGGTAACTACACTAATGGTCATTAAATTTTAGGAATTTTGGTCTTATAATTTTTAAAATTTGTAATACATTCACTAAACTTTTAATTTATTTACATTATGATTAATATCATTAAGAAAAGCTGAGGTTCTAAATTGACATTTGTCGTAGAGGCCAAATTTTTAATGAACACCGTTGATCAATTCCAACAATGAGAAGGCTTTGTTTATCTAGAAGATTAATATTGTTTAATTATAAATTAATGTATCGAATGAAAATGGTAGATTGAAAAGTTTTAGCTTTTAGTTTCGATTTATATTTGAGAAGAATAAAAAGTTTTTCGATGAGTTTGAATCAAATGAAAGAGAGAGAACAAGAAAACGAGTAGTTCAATGATCTTTTTTATCAAAAAAATCATTTAATGACGACAGAAAGAATGAAGAAAATAATAGCAGGGGTTGACATATTTTTAGGGCTTTTAGCGTGCCATATCAACTGTCGATAATAATTTAACAATCTAATGATCGAAATGAAAAGTTTTTTAACCATCATAATTTCAATAAAAGGAGTTGTCTATCCATCTCAGTTGGTAAAGCACAAGGTTCTTAACCTCGAGGTCGTGGGATTGAGTCCCACGGTAGGCAATTTATAATTTGGAGGTCTTCCACGGAAGCTGCTATCAACCTGGCGTTGGGACCAACCTACTATCCTATCTCCCCCTTACCCATTACATATGGAAATAAGGGTCAACTAATTTTTTTTTAATTTCAATAAAGATTTTCTATGAATGAAGTAAAAGTACTATAAAAATTCGGTAATTATTAATATAGTTTACCCTAAGTAATAAGATTGAGAGCCTAAAAATTTACCATTACACCAAATTTTCGGTTGAATTATTTCAGTGTTGTAGTAGAGAGGATGAGAAGAAAGGGAGTGGTCGGTCAGTCGTGCACCCACAAAAGCTGTAGGGCACATGAACCAAAAGGTCGTAGGCAATCCCTCCGCTCCGCACCCACATGTAGGGGTGTATTCGGTTCGATTCAATTCAGTTTTTTATTAAAAATTGAACCGAATCGAAATAAACAGTTTTTCAAAATTTAAACAGAAACCGAAATCGAATTGTTAAAAATTTAAAAAAACCGAAACCGATTTTTTCGGTTCGATTCGATTTTTTTAACGGTTCAAGTTTTTCGGTTCGATTCGGTTCGGTTTTTCAGTTTTTTAATAAAAAAATCAATTGAAACTATAAATTTTTTAAAAAAAATTGCCTATTCGATTTAATATGGAATAAATGAGTTTCATATGAAAAACTCGAATCAAACTGAATCAAAATAATTAAGACTTTAAACTGAACGAAAATCAAACCGTATAATGTCATATCGAACCACTTTATTCTATTCATTTCGAATTTTCAATTTTTTCGATTTCATTACTCAACCCTAACACAGGATCGGCGCCTCAGGATGTCGCAACAACTTGCGTGAGTAACGGTCAATTATACGACCGTTGGGAAAAACAATTACTATATATATTCCGCCTCTTTTTTAAAATATTCAAAAGTATCAAAACATTTCCTTACTGCCAGCCAAATTCCTGAAATGAGCAACTCATTTTGATCTTTACAGTACATTCTCTAGAAAGATTAATTCATTTCCAGTCCTGAAAAGGTACATTACATTTCTTGGCATTTGAACCCTCTGCCTTCTATTATTACTTTTATGGTCCCTACATTCTTTTGAATAAAAAAATCACTACCAAATAATCCCCACACAGCTAACGTCCAACCACTGCCAACATTATAATATAATATCTATCTTCAACCTTTTAACACTATAAATTGAAGCTTATGTTCAAGATATATGGGATGATTCCTTTTACACATAAAGCTTATGTAACGTTTGATTAATCAAAATAAAAATAATGGATTGAATGATGCAAAATTAGTATTATTAAAAACATTTTAAATTTTAATTTTGTGGATTAAGATCGGTGGTAAAAAATTAAACTTAATAATATAAATCAATGAGAAAAACATTAATTAACAAGATGGTGTAAATATAAGATCGGTGATGTGATTGATTTGAAAAATAACTTAATTAAAATAAAACATATTTATGATGGTAAAGTTCTTGAAGGATCGGTTGTTTTCGTGTCCACTTAAACAGCAACAAAGAAAGCTTCATTTTAACCCCTGAAATCAATTTTTTACCGTCCATTCATATAATTTAAAATCTAACGGCCAAGATACAATCAGAAACAGAGTCCCTACTGTCCTTCTCTATATATTTCCAGTCACCTCCCACCCCCAACCGTTATCAGCACAAAGAAGCATCCAAAAATGGCGTCCGCGAGCACTTGGATGTTATCGTTAAAGGTACTGTTCATTTCCATTGGTGTACTGACCATAGCTTTAGGGCTTAAAGTTTCTGTTCCATTGGTTTTGGATTTCTCCGTTTCTCAAGCTCCGTTATTGTGGAGCACGTTCCGTTCTTGGCTCAAGCCGCCGTATCTTTACGTCATCATCAACGGAATCATAATCACAATTGCAGCATCTTCGCGGTTTGATCAAAACAAAGGCGAGAGCGAACGGACCGAGCAGATGCAGCAGCAGCCGAGATCGAAGATCTCTGTGGATCAACGGCCATCGGTGGAGTACGAGATGAAGAGCGGCTTGGATTTCGGGGTAGTGAAACCGGTCGCGTACCAGCTGAAGGAGAGAGTACAAGAGGTGGAAACGACGGTTTTTGAGGCGGAGACCAATGTAGCGGTTGTTGATGATAGAGATGGAGGAGGTGACGAGTTTGCTATCTCGAAATCGGAGTGGGTTCCTTTGAGGAGAACGGATTCGTCGGATATTCAATCTGATGTTCTGTTTCATGTGGAGAAACCACCGGCTTCCTCTAGATTCGGTCACCGGAAACCTGTCAAAGCCAGTCCTGAAGGTATATTTAGCAGATTTATTTCCTATCGATTTTTTACATATATTTTAATTTAAAATTTGTTAACGGTTACTCGGTGAGATTTTTGTATATATCTGTTTTGAACTTCAAAAATCTTTTGAAAGCTTTTTGGTCCACTCGACGGAGCCGCACCGGCGGCGATTCAGTTCTTTTTCCACACGTGTTGCATGTTCTATAATTTTTCAGACTTAAACTGTGTCGTTTTAATTGATATAATTCTTATTTTAGATCCCTCTACTTGATGTAGAGTGTTAAAAGTTTATATTTCAGAATAGCAGAGGGATTAGAATTATAAATAAACCTTCAATTTTTTTCAAGTCCGTTCAAAGATGGCGTCTACTTGACAACGCGCCACTGAATAAAGTTCAAAATAGTCCTTTTTAAGGATATGATTAAGAAACTAAAATATCTAAATCGCGTGATTAAGAAGGCTAAGAGTAATGATTTAATTAATCAATCAATCAACTGTGGCTTAATGCAGGTGGCCGAGCATTGAGGGTGGCGAAACCCAAACGCCACGAGACGCTGGAGAACACGTGGAAGATGATAACGGAAGGGAAAGCAATGCCGTTGACGAGGCATTTGAAGAAATCGGAAACGTGGGAGAATCACGGCCGTGATATCAATGTCGAGTTGTTGTCCGATTCGACGGCGGCGATGAAGAAATCAGAGACGTTCAGGGACCGGACCAATTACCAGCCACCAACTGAAAAAGCGAGTTCTCCATCTCCGGCTTCGGCGGTGAAGCTGAGGAAAGAGCCGTCGCTGAGTCAGGATGAGTTGAACCGTCGAGTGGAAGCGTTCATAAAGAAATTCAACGAGGAGATGAGATTGCAGAGACAAGAGTCGCTTAATCAGTACACAGAGATGGTTAACCGTGGATGTTAGCCACTGATTATCATTAATTAACTGTAGTTTAAAATTTAAATATTGTTTTTTTTAAAAGAACAGAAAATATGTTCATTAATTTTTGGAAATATGTTTTCTCCATTAGGTCTATAAAAGGTTTGAGACTTGGAGTTGAAAAAAAAACGAAAAAATACTAAAAAAATAAAGAAAAAAAAGGTGGTGGTTTTAATTTGTGGGGTTGGTTTCATGGTACAGCTGGTTTGAGTGTTATTAGGGATAATTCATGGTATAATTAAAAGTACTGTAAATGAAGAAACTTAGCTGTTTGTTTGCTTACTCCTTTTTTTTAATTAAGATTTCAAATGATGATTTTTTATATTTGAATATTTTGCAAATGACATAATAAAAAATCATTCTAACGTTTTATAGAATATTTACTTTATCTCACTTTTTCTTTTCTTTTTTAACATATTAATCCTCTAACGTTTTATTTTGAGTTAAAAAATTCCTTGATAGATGAAAATCGTTCATCGACAACCGAACAATGCATCATACTGGCTAAATATATCCATATGGATGATATGTTTATGTAGACTAGAGTGATGTCGTGGCAAATGAATGATGGTGTTACAAACAACGAACTAAAACTCTTGGATTTCCTTATTTACTGCCGTTTTAGAAGCTTTATTTTTGTTTGTTTCTTGATTTTAGGGATCCATGTCTTGATTAAAGGCAACAAATCCCATCCTGAAACATAATTTGGGTCGTTGTTCTTGAATCGCTCGTTTACCATACACACGACAACAGTTGAATCGAAAACCCCCAAACTTCTTTATTTTATCAACTCATCGTCTTTTAATCGAGTAGAAGACTGTGAGTTTGCCTTAGATTTTTACCAAGGAAGAGTATATCGGTGGTTTTGATGTAATTAAATGTTAACGGCAGGTGACTTGATTGAATTTATTTAAATAGTTAGGTAATCTGATTGAAAAGATTTTAAAAATAATTATCAAAATGAAAAGAGACAATAGTTAAGTGGTCAATGATATAATTTACCCTAAATATATTGTGTTGTAAACGTATAACAGATTCATTGTTTGACTTAATGGTGACATGTGTCACCAGTTGATGAAGATTTTAGTTTGCGTGTGAGCAGACTTGAACCTCGATAACAACCCTAATGACACCAGTAGAAGCCAGACAACCAGGGAGTCAATTTGCATGCAACCACCTTTGCAATGCCATGTTGACAAGATTCTTGCTGATAGAATGATTATGGTACGAGGGAAGTCAATTTGTAAGTATCTAGTTAAATGGGGAGGCTTCAAATTTAAAAAGAACAGTTGGGAGAGAGAGAGCATGTCAAGGCATTCAAGGAAAAGATTGAGGAGTTTCAGGTAATGTAGTAGATGAGGGTGTAGATAATTTAGGCGAAGAAGAATGTCGTGGCCATCTCTTGTATAGGACCATGATCGGGTAAGTACGCCACGACCAACTATGTATAAGGCTTATTGGCAAGGTAAAGTAAGTTTGTCCTCATTTCAATTTCATTCATCTTTCTACCCTCAAATGCCACAATGTGTCTATCCTGTAAGAGTATCCCTCCAATCGTATAGTTTGATGCGTTCGTCTCAACTTCCAAAGGCTTCTATAAATTTGGCAAGGCAAGAACCGGATCCCTAACTACTGCCCTTTTTAACTCCTCAAAGGCTTCTTAACATTCCTTTGACCAGATCCAACCTTTACCTTTCTTTAGCAAACCAGTGAGCGACGTTATCTTACGAGAATAACACTCTACAAACCGTTTGTAGTAATTGACCATGCCAAGAAATGATCTCAGCTCGTTAACATTATGTGGAGTTGGTCACTCTTGAATGACCTTCACCTTTTCTTTATCCATATGAATACGCCTTTGTTTGATAATGTGTCCTAAGAACTGGACTTGAGTCTGGGCAAAAGCGCATTTCTCCTTTTTTTTACATACATTTGATTCTCTTGCAAACTTGCCAAAACCAGTCGAAGTTGCTCTTGATGCTCTTCCGAAGAAGTGCTATAAATCATTATATCATCTAGATATATGATATGTGTCATCATTTGGTTGGCTTTGATTAAATTAATTAAAAATAACGAAACATGTTATGCCAACATTTCCATCCATATAGATATGCTTAGTCAACATGATACTCTGATCGTTATTTAACTAATGGTTTTCATTTACGGAGGGATTTTTTTATCTAAAATAAAATGTTGGAGGTTAATACGCTCTCAAAAAATAGGTATCAAAATGAATGCTTTGTCAAACATTATGGATGTATTTTTGTCATTATGCCTTTGCAAATTCAAACTATTATCAAGTAATAATATTTAATTTAAATTTAAATAATAATACTTAAATAATTTATAAATAAAAAATATATTCCAAATTTTAAAACATTTATAAATTTAAATAATTCGAAAAATACATATATTTAACCCGATATCATTCCTAGTAGGGTAGTGGTTTTGACCCTTTGGTTCAAATGGTCAAATTTTCACTATAGTCATTGTAAAGTTTCTATAATTCAATTTAGGTCTTTCAAATGGAAAATGTATGCCTTAGACCTGCCAAGAAGTTTAATTTTATTCCGACCCTTAAAACGAAATTCCGAGTTTACAATGAAGGATAGTTTTAAAGATGTAGAATAAAGTAATGAAGTATAATAATTTATGTATAACATAGGCCCTAAATGGTAATATTTCACTAAAAGTGCACTTATTTTGAGGTTGATGGGTGGTAATGAAGCATTCACTCACAATCCATCATTATAACATAACATGCGTCTCTCATAATGTGTCGTTGTCCTAAAGGAACAAGCATCAAAGCCGAAGCAAATGCTAATGCCAATGTTTTCTTAATAAAAAGGAGAGAGTAGAGATTATTCGGGATCGTATACATACAATACCTGTTGACTAAGCACTGAAAGGTGCATATAATAAATGCACCGAAAAAATGAGTTGTTTTTGTTGATTTTTGGACAATGGCTAAATCATAATTTAATCATTAAACTTTAGGGTTTTTACAAATTAGTCCTTAGGTTTCAACTATAAATACCCTAGCTCATTTAACTTCAAAATCATCCCAAAGCATTCTAGCTTTCTTCCAATACTAGAGAGAATTTAGAGAGTTTCTTGAGAGTTGTTTTCTCCTTTTTATCGAGAGAGAATTATCATTGTTTTCTCCTTGGTAGATCGAGAGAGGTTGTAATTCCTATTTTCTCATAGTGAACTTCTTCTACCGTTGCCCGTGGTTTTTACCATATTTTATTTAGGGGTTTTCCACGTAAATTTTGTGTCTCTTTTTATCTTCATTTTTATTTTCTCAAATTATCAGTTGCGATTTTGCTCTATCCGATAGCCGTCTTCCGCAACAATTGGTATCCGAGCTAGATTAGAGTGTGTAATATCTGCTTATTGTCTTTGTGGTTGTCACCAAAAAGGTGGATCCTCCAATAAGAAAGTAAGAAGTTATTACCCATTCTTTGAAGGTTCCAGAGAACTATTCACGATAGTGAAATAGAGGGAGCTATCCGTAAACGAAGCAATGGCAACGAAATTTGATATTGAAAAGTTCAATGGGAGAAATTTCTCATTGTGGAAATTGAAGATGAAGGCCATCCTGAGGAAAGACGGTTGTCTAGCAGCTATCAGTGAAAGGCCAGTAGATTTCACAGACGACAACAAATGGATCGAAATGGACGGAAATGCTATGGCAAACTTTCATCTAGCATTAGCAGATGAAGTATTGTCAAGTATCGAGGAGAAGAAGACAGCTAAGGAGATATGGGATCATCTCACCAAACTGTACGAGGCCACATCGTTGCACAATAAAATTTTCCTTAAGAGAAAATTGTACACTCTCCGTATGCCAGAATCTATTTCAGTGACAGAGCACTTAAATACACTGAACACCTTATTTTCTCAGCTTACATCCTTAAGCTGTAAAATAGGAGAACAAGAACGTGCTGAACTTCTACTTCAAAGTCTACCGGATTCGTACGATCAACTCATCATCAACTTGACAAACAATAATGTCACCAGTCTAGTCTTCGATGACGTTGCAGCTGTTGTTCTACAAGAAGAAAATCGGCGCAAGAACAAAGAAGACAGACAAGTAAATCTGCAACAAGCAGAAGCGTTGACAACGATGAGAGGGAGATCAACAGAACGTGACCAAAGCAGCAGTCACAAACATGGTAGATCAAAGTCGAGGAGCAAGAAGAATTTAAAGTGATACCACTGTGGAAAGAAGGGTCACTTGAAGAAGGATTGTTGGAGTCTAAATAAAAACTCCAATCCACAAGGCAATACCGCAAACACTTCAGATGATGGAGATGCTCTATGCTGTGAAGCGTCAACCACCGTGGAAGGAAGAAAACGATTTGCAGATATATGGCTCATTGATTCGGGAGCAACATATCACATGACCTCAAGAAGTGAATGGTTTCATCATTATGAACCTGTCTCAGGAGGATCTGTGTATAGTTGCAATGATCATGCCTTAGAAATCATTGGCGTGGGAACCATCAAATTGAAGATGTATGATGGAACAATTAAAGTTGTTCGAGATGTGCGGCACGTGAAAGGTCTGAAGAAAAATTTATTATCCTACGGATTGTTGGATAATAATGCAAACAAGATTGAAACACGGAAAGGAATCATGAAGGTGTTCCGTGGAGCGCTTGTGGTGCTAAAAGGTGAAAAGATAGCTGCAAGCTTGTACATGCTGAAGGAGAGACATTGCTAGAAGGAGAAGCCTCTGTTGCCTCATGTAGTTCAGATTCTGCAATGCTATGACATAAGAAACTTGGACACATGTCAGAACAAGGAATAAAAGTCCTTGTGGAGCAAAAGCTACTTCCAGGCTTAACAAAGGTATCACTTCCTTTGTGTGAGCATTGCATAACAAGTAAGCAGCACCGGTTGAAATTCAACACATCAAATTCTAGAGGCAAAAGTGTTCTAGAATTGGTTCACTCTGACGTATGGAAAGCACCAGTAACGTCCCTAGGTGGAGCAAAATACTTTGTCTCATTTATTGATGACTACTCCAGGAGATGTTGGGTGCACCCTATTAAGAAGAAGTCAGATGTGTTTTCAACTTTCAAAAACTTCAAAGCGCGGGTGGAACTTAATTCTAGAAATAAGATCAAGTGTTTCAGAACAGATAATGGAGGAGAATACACAAGCGAAGAATTTGATGACTTTTGCAGGAAAGAAGGCATCAAAAGACAGTTCACAGTGGCGAACACTCCTCAACAAAATAGAGTGGCAGAGCGGATGAACAGAACCTTGTTAGAAAGAACAAGAGCAATGTTGATGGATGCAGGCCTAGAAAAATCATTCTGGGCAGAAGCAGTCAATACCGCCTGTTATTTGGTGAATCGAGCTCCATCAACTGCAATAGAGCTGAAGACACCAATGGAGATGTGGACTGGTAAACCAGTTGATTATTCAAACCTCCATGTATTTCAAAGTTGGATCCAAAATCCAGGAAATGCAAATTCTTATGGTATGCTGATTGAGTAAAGGGGTATCGCTTGTGGGATCCCACTGCCCGCAAAGTGATCATTAGTAGGGATGTTATCTTTGTAGAAGATAAGCTACAAATAAAAGAAGACGATGATAACGCTGAAAAGTCAGAGACTACTCAGATACATGTGGAAAAAGAGTTTGAAGAATGAGATTCTTCTGAAGCAGAACCAGCACATGATGAACAAGAACCAGAGAGTTCTGAAGCTCCAACAACTCGTCAATCAGATCGTGTGAGAAGACGTCCCAATTGGTACTCGGATTATGTTATAGAAGGTAATATTGCATACTGCCTTTTAACAGAGGACGGTGAGCCATCAACATACCAGGAGGCAATAAACAGCTCAGATGCTTCACTGTGGATGATGGCGATGCAAGAAGAAATCGAAGCCCTTCATAAAAATAATGCATGAGACCTTGTGCCACTACCACAAGGAAGGAAGCCAATTGGTAACAAATGGGTCTTTAAAATCAAGCGAAATGGTGACGATCAAGTTGAGAGGTATCGTGCAAGACTGGTGGTCAAAGGATATGCTCAAAAGGAAGGTATTGATTTCAATGAAATATTTTCTCCTGTGGTTCGACTAACAACAGTTCGAGTAGTTTTGGAAATGTGTGCTACATTGGACTTACATCTAGAGCAGCTAGATGTTAAAACATCTTTTCTTCATGGAAATCTTGAAGAAGAGATTTATATGCTCCAACCTGAAGGTTTTGAAGAAGACGAAAAGAAGAACTTGGTTTGCAGGTTGAACAAATCTCTGTACGGTCTAAAGCAGGCGCCGAGGTGTTGGTATAAGAGATTTGATTCCTTCATTATGTGCCTTGGATACAACAGACTTAATGCAGACCCTTGTGCTTATTTCAAGAGGTCTGGTGATAACGATTTTGTTATATTGCTGTTGTATGTAGATGACATGTTGGTTGCAGGACCCAACAAAGATCATATTGAAGAATTGAAGGCACAACTGGCTAGGGAATTTGAAATGAAGGACTTGGGATCAACAAACAAGATTCTAGGGATGCAAATTCACCGAGACAGAAGTAATAGGAAGATTTGGCTTTCACAAAAGAATTACTTGAAGAAAATCTTGTCACGATTCAGCATGCAAGATTGTAAGCCAATTTCTACCCCTCTTCCTATTAACTTTAAATTATCCTCCAGTATGAGTCCTAGCAGTGAAGAAGAGAGGATGAAGATGTCTCGAGTACCGTATGCATCAGCAGTGGGAAGTTTAATGTTCACTATGATATGCACAAGACCAGACATTGCACAAGCAGTTGGAGTGGTTAGTCGATACATGGCGAATCCAGGCAAAGAGCATTGGAATACAGTAAAGAGGATCCTAAGATACATCAAAGGGACCTCAAATGTTGCATTATGTTACGGAGGATCAAACTTACTAATTAATGGGTATGTAGATTCTGACTATGCAGGGGATTTGGATAAAAGCAAATCTACTACAGGATATGTGTTCAAAGTTGCTGGTGGAGCTGTAAGCTGAGTTTCAAAATTGCAGTCAGTTGTGGTTACGTCCACAACAAAGGCAGAATATGTAGCAGCTACACAAGCCAGTAAAGAAGCAATTTGGTTGAAGATGCTATTGGAGGAGCTTGGGCACAATCAAGAGTATGTCTCTCTGTTTTGTGACAGTCAAAGCGCTTTGCATCTAGCAAGGAATCCAGCATTTCATTCAAGGACAAAGCACATATGAGTTCAATATCATTTCATTCGTGAAAAAGGTGGAAGAAGGGACGGTAGATATACAGAAGATCCATACCAAAGACAACATAGCAGATTTCATGATGAAGGCGATCAACACTGATAAATTTACTTGGTGTCGATCCTCTTGTGGCCTGTCAGAGACGTAAGCAACATGATGGTACAAGGTAGAAAGAATGGTGTGAAGATATGATTGTTCCAATCAAATCTTCAAGTGGGAGATTGTTGACTAAGCACCGAAAGGTGCATATAATAAATGCACCGAAAAAATGAGTTGTTTTTGTTGATTTTTGGACAATGGCTAAATCATAATTTAGTCATTAAACTTTAGGGTTTTTACAAATTAGTCCTTAGGTTTCAACTATAAATACCCTAGCTCATTTAGCTTCAAAATCATCCCAAAGCATTCTAGCTTTCTTCCAATACTAGAGAGAATTTAGAGAGTTTCTTGAGAGTTGTTTTCTCCTTTTTATCGAGAGAGAATTATCATTGTTTTCCTCCTTGGTAGATCGAGAGAGGTTGTAATTCCTATTTTCTCATAGTGAAATTCTTCTACCATTGCCCGTGGTTTTTACCCTATTTTATTTAGGGGTTTTCCACGTAAATTTTGTCTCTTTTTATCTTCATTTTTATTTTCTCAAATTATCAGTTACGATTTTGCTCTATCCGATAGCCGTCTTCCGCAACAATACCTAATGTTAATTAATACTTAATATGTCCTTCTTAACTTTGTTGGATTGCAACTTCAATAATAATAATAATTAGATGGAATAATATCAAATTTTATCTTTAATATTTGTTTAAATAATTATTTTAAATTTTTTAATACTTTAGTCCTCAACGTTTTTTATTAAAATTATTTTTTTAGATGAATTTTTTAACTTACTAACCACCAATATTTATTATCTTTTAATAATATGGGGTGGTTACACAATAATCTATGTTCGTAATCTTTCTTAATCATTAACAACACACACCCTACAAACGCAATTACTTAAACATAAGATCTTAAAGAGAACAATATTCTCTTCATCGCTTAGATTACTTGATGAGTTCTATTAATTTTTGTTGTTGATATGATATTATTATGTATACTTAAGTACGGTCATGGTATATGTCTATGTACTCAAGTGTTGACACAATGATAATGTAGTTTATGTCATATGTGTTTAAGTTTGACATTGTAATGACTTGTCACTTGTTACATAAATACTTAATTACATGTAATTATGTTTTACGTGGATGTGTTATATTAATAATAAATATTAAATATTTATAGTTGTTATCTAAAAATGATATATTTTACGAAAAGTTGATGTAATTGTATAGTCTTTATTCATTTCATTCAAAGTAAAAAGCTCAAATGTTAATGTTCTAGGAAGCTTTATTTATTTTGGGAATTTACTTGCTCTTAATGAGAGTTATAATAGTTGGGAGGAGAGGTAGGAGGATGACAATAATGAGGACGATTGCAGCAATGATTGCCATACACATCCATTTCCTTGAGCTCTTCTGCTGTTCCCTAGCTTCCACCAGCTGTTCCGTCCCTCGTCTCACGAAGGAACTCGCTTTTGCCACGTTGCTCTCTATGTCGTTGAGTTGCTGACCCTGAGCTTCCACCAGCGCCGCCATGTCCAGGAATATCTGGTGGAGCTCCATCAAGTTCTTCTCGATCTCCTTCACCGCATCGTGCCTTTCTTGAATCTCCGAAATGGTGTCCATAATCTGACCCCTTCCTTGTTCTTGTATGGCCCTTTGAAGGAAGCTTTCGCTTTCGCCGCTCGATATCAAGTTCTCGATCGTTTCCTCGTCGGGTTTCTCCCCCGTGATGGTGAAGTATCGACGTTCCACTGTTTCTTTATACTCCGCCTGCATCATCGCTCTTAGTGCTTGAAAATCATCCATCATGTCCTTCAGTTTCTTCCCCAAGCCACTAACCACCGATGTCCGGGTTCTATCCGTAGACGAACCGGGCCCGCAACCTGGAGTGTTCCGACTAGCCGCGTTCGACCGTTCCAATCCTTCGAGCTTCCCTTTGATGATTTTAACTCTTTTAAGCACCTGTTGGGATACAGAATATTTATAATAGTGAACACAAATAAAATTTCAAATAGACAGAATAATTAACTAATGGAAAAAAATTCGGATTTGAACGTGTGCTATTGACCTGTTCGACATCGGCGTCCATCCGGGAGCGGAGCTGTTTCATGGTCTTTGCGCTGTGGGCAGTTTTGCATTCCTCTTTGGCTTCCTGCAACGCCTTGTACAACTTGTCGACGCCTTTCATGTCTTCCTTGACGTTCTCGACTTCTTCAAAGAATTTATCGAGGTCTGCGCTCTCCGTTCCGGCTTCCATTTCGTCCAGGCAAGCTTGTTCCTTCAGGTCCGTGTATTTCTTGAACGAACTCGAGATTAAGTCATTCATCTTGCCACAGAAACCACTTCACAATTCACTCTATTTTCTCTTGATTTTCCTTTGTTCGTGTTAATATGGCTGAAATTTATTCAAAAATCGTTGATGAAGCTATGCATGAACTAATCTAAACATTGTAAATTCGCATTTGAAGTCGGTGTTTTAATGAGAATCAGGGGCTTTCTTTTTCCTCTCTTTTTCCTCTTCATTAACTGCTGCAATCGGCAACGGAGGAGGAAGAGAGAGGGAGCTGTGGTGACAGAAAGTTTCACCAGAGTATCAAGGGACCAAATGGCTAATTTCCCCTTATTTTCTAGTAAGGAAAATGAAGGTAATTAGAAGAAGCTAATCTAAAAATAAGGCCATTTACTTAGGATTTCTTCATAATAATCAATGGCAATCCTCTCTTCATTGTTTTTCATTTGATACCAAGATAGCTTGGTTGACCTTGTTTGGTCCTTTAATCCATTCATTCGCAATCCTTAAATCTCTTAATTACGCATGCTAAAATTACCAATGATTCTTATATCAAATAAATTATGGGTAAACTATATAATAGGTCATTGACTTATACTCCAATAATTGCTTAGATCATTAAAATTTTAAAAATTATATAATTATCATTAATTTTATTAAGAGAAAATAACCTCAGTGACCGAAAATTCCTTATAATATACGATTTTGAACAACTTTTTTTCGATTTGCCAAAATGACCAACAAAATCGCAATGCGATATCTAAATCGCAACGCGATCTCCAGTATCGCAAATCAGTTTCCAGATTCGCAACATGATTTTGACTATCGCAATGCGAATATGTAAATCGCAACGCGATTTTGACTATCGCAATGCGAATATGTAAATCGCAACGTGATAATACATAATCGCAACGCGATTCTGACTATCGCAACGCGATAATACAATATCGCAATGCGATTTTCAAAGCGCCATTAGTATCGCAACGCATATTTATTTTCAAATTCCAAACACGAATATTAATACATCCCGTAATCACAACTCTTAACCTAAAAACCTAAATCACAACTCAGTCCCATCTCCATTCTCACTCTCTACGGCGACATCCGTCCTCATCTCCGACGAAATTCGTCCCCATCTCCGACGAAATCCGTCTATCTCCATCTCTCAGAGCCACCCTCACAATCATTCACGATCAGAAATGAAAAATCAACCAAATCCATAGCGTAGCAATCCATAGCGTATGCGCTTGAATCATCTTGGTTTAGATGAAGAGCAACTTTTATAACATGCCCACACGGATAATCAGATGTTTGCCATTTCATACAACTACACGTCTTTGCATTTAGATCGACAAGCCCATTTAAGTTATTATCCAGTACTTCAAACAAAGTTTTTGAACATGGTTCAACTCTCCATGACGTTGACTTCACAACACGCTTCGTTATCTTTTTTTCAGTCCATGGTGTAACACGATGTTCCAATGTTCCTGTAAATTTAAATAAATAATACTTAGTAAAATATATGATAAGTCACGAATTTAAAGAAATAATACCTGCATGGTTTCTTTTCTTGTAGTACCACTGTTGAATAGAGGCTCGAAAAAATTCCATTAACATAGTAATGGGTAATTTCCGGGAATGACGACTTAGAGCGTTGATTGATTCTGCACTATTAGACGTCATGAAACCATATCTTGCTCCAAGTTGATGTACTCTTGACCATCTTTCAAACCCAATATCTTCTAGTGTTTGAGCACATTGAGGCAAAACACGTCTTAAACAATTTATAAGCTTATTAAAATCCACTTCCCGATAAGCTTTTACAGCCTTCCAGTATGTCCATTTGTGATTTTTTATACCAGCAGACCTTGATTTTAGATTTCTATATACATGAACACCACAAAGTCCATGAAAAGCATCTGGGAAACACATTCTAACAGCGTTGTCAATTGAGTTTGCCCTATCGGATATGATTTTCAGATTGCTAATAGAACCTATGCAATCCCTAGGATTCCCCATAAACCATGTCCATGAATCAGAGGTTTCAGATTTGCCAACCCCGTAAGCTATTGGCAGTATCCCATTGCTAGCATCCATGGCTACTGCTAATAAGTTTACTCCAAGATATCGACCTTTTAAATGTGCTCCATCAACTATAATAACTGGGCGCATGCAAGTAATAAACGGACGAATCTACAAAATCATATACACAAGAAATATAGTCATTTAAATGTGAAGTGCATGTAACTAACAAAAATGAGTCAACAAAATTATATTGATTTACTAACCGCAGCACCAATGGTGATAAACAGCAACTCAAAGCATCCATCTCTATCTGTTTTGATATGAGTTACCGACCCAGGATTTTTCAGCTTTAAATTGTGACAATAAGCTGGCAGTTGGGCAAACGATGCTTCTGGCGACCCCCTCAACAATTCCAAGGCAAAACATTTGGCTCTCCAAGCTTGAGAATATGAGATACTAATCTTGAACCGAGCATTCATGTCAGTCATAATTTCATGTCCCCGATATACCCTACCTGTAACATCCTCCATACCGGGTTAGTGATCAAATTGTGAAATTTTATAATTTAGCGATCAAAGCTGATAAATTGAAAGTTAAGGGAATTGATTGAAATATTTGGTGTAGGATCAATTAGCAAAGCATGGGGAACTAAAGGGGCAAATGAGTCTTTTGACAAGGAAATAATTAAATGTTTCTTAAGGATATTTAATAAACCACGTGGAAAGCTAATGAGAGAAACAAGGTTTTGGATATTTCTTTCTTCTTCCTTCTCCTTATCTGCCGTGAAGCCAAGCTAAAGGTGAGTTTTTCTTGTTGATTAAATTCTTGATGAATTTAAGGTTTCTTATTGATCCTTAGTTGATAACTAAGCTTAAGGAAAGCTTAGATTATCTTAAAACCATAAGATGAGGAGAATATGAAGAATCAAAGAAAGGAAGTAGAAAAGTGAAATCTAGGATTAGAGTTCCTAATAAGAATTAGAAGTGAAATTTGACTTGTCATAAAGCTAACTAAGAAGTATGAGGTGGTAGAATTCAAATTAGAACATGTTGGAATTTGGGTTAGATTCTTAAATTCTACATGGAGAATTGGATTTTTAAGTTTCAAAAGTATGGAATGGATAATAATTAGTTTAAGTAAGAGTATGCAAGTTAAGGATATATAAAGAGGAGAAATATAAAGTGTTAAGTAGACTAAGAAGATATTTTAGTGCTAAAATGACAATTCTGGGCAATGTGCATCGATGCACATTCATTGTGCACCGATGCATCGATGATAAATCCCAGAAATTGTTTAAGGTGCATCGATGCACATGTAGTGCATCGATGCACATGCAGTGCATCGATGCATTAATTTAAAAAGAAAACATCGAATAGGATTTATGCATCGATGCATAAGGAGTGCATCCCCATTAAATACAAACATCGAATAGGATTTTATGCATCGATGCATGGTGTAGTGCATCGATGCATACCTCCATTAAAAGATGAAAATGGCTTTTCTTTTAGCCTAAGAAATGATAGTTTAGAATATATTAATTAGTATACTGATAAGTATCAATGAATTACTATGTAGATATCGAGCCTAAACGAGTTCCGGAACCATCAACAAGTAGGATCAATCGAGGGAAAGACAAAGAAATCTAGGTGAGTGCATATGCATAGCATGAATATGTATTTTATTCAGTTCTAGACTTGTGATAAGTCTAGATTCAATATTTTGATACATGATAGTATTTCATATTATGATATATGACATGAATCCATACCCTATGCATTATGGGACATGAATATGCAAGAAAACGTTATATGAGTTATGTGATAAAGGTATGAAAATAATATGTCTACGTGATACAAATAAGATAAATGTTGAAAGCCCATGTTATGTAAATGAGAACTATATGTATAGTTGGCATGCAAAGGGTAGAGGGTCTATGTGGTCCTTCGGGACATATATGTATTCTTTGGAACATGTGTGAGGTCTGGTGAGACACATACTTGATCCTTGGCATATGTATATGATTCTTAAGGAATGATATGTGGTCCTTATGGACATTATTATATGGCACTAAGGTGCAATTCTACGCGGCTCCGGTGCAATTCTACGTGGCACTTAGGTGTAATTATATGAGCTGTGGTGACAGCATAGTGCACAACCTCACAATACTCACATACCTTAGGTTCTCTGTATGGTACCATGGGCTAATGAACTTACTAAGGCGAACTTATGAATGTGAATTTGATAAGTATATGTGTAAGAAACATGGTTCTGGTTATTGCATTATTTACATACATCTTATCATTGCAACCTATCTTATTTTGGCAATTACTTTATATTTATCGATATTATTATTATATTGCCTCACTAAGTCGATAACTTAGCGTGTGAGTGTTTCACACGTAGGATCCGATAAAGTATACGATCGAGCTTAAGCAGCTGGACAACATTACTCCTGCAACTATCAGATCAGAAGCAACTTAATCAGTAGGTCATTTTGTTATGAAAATGGATGTTGGCATGTAGTTAAAGAGTTAAGTTGTGTATGCTCTGAATATTTTGGTAAATTTATATTACCATATGTATATTATTGTATTTTTCGTAATATAAGTTCAAATATTTTGCTATTATTTGTAATGAGTTGAGTTTTAAAAGTCAATGTAATATCTCTGACTCGTATCCGGGTTGGATAACGGGTTGGGGGTGTTACATTTAATGGTATCAGAGCTATGGTTTAGCCGATTCTAAGCATAAACCAGAGTCTATAGAGTCTTTAAATGGAATACATGCCAACAAATAGTGAGAACTTCTGATATGATATAGTATGAGTATGCTGTTTTGCTAATAGAAAATGTGTTTATTCTTATTAGATGTCCGGACATAATAGCTCCTGAATAAAGTGGGAGAAGATAGGCCTGCTGAAAGCAGTAATTCACCTGCCCTGGCCAGGCAAGGTGAAGAACATGCATCTCAAGGAGTGCCTGTGCAAGATCAAGATATGTTCTTCAGAACGTTAGACGCTATTCTAATGCGTCTTCAACCT